TTATTTTTCTCAATATGTTTGAATACATGCAACTAGTTTCTACTTTCTAGAATAGTATTTGTTACACGATTTGTCCATGATATTTAAGAATAGTAAAAAAACGTCTCTTCTCCTGACTGAAACAACTCGTGACATATTACAAACGATGCTCTTATTTAAAAATTTTACACCATAAAAATGTCTCATTGGTATCAAATGAATCCTAACATTTTTATCTACAATACTGCACTTTCAGCTCAACTATCATGTCTAGCCGGTCTCTCCCTTTAGCACTTTTTGTGAATTCGAACCAGAACTACAGCAAAGACGATCTTAATAAGTTCATATTTCCTTTTCCGGTTTCTGGGTAGGTGCAATTAGCCTTTACAATTTCTTTGTTTTAATTTTAACTTGCGACATTCTGCCCTGCTATAATTATAAAAATGTGAGTCTAAAAGTTTAAACAAATTATTTTTCTATCTATCTTTCTATCTTTAAAAATAAAAATAAAATGTATTTTTATATTTTAAAGAGGATCGATGTGAAGGAAGGGGGGGATATTAAAGATAAATAGAGGGGGAAAGTATTCTAATTAAATGCTAGGATGAGAGCTTTAAAAGTTGAAATATATTCAAAGAACGAAGGGTATTAGAATAGGTAGAAAAATAGATGTATGAAATGAATGGATAGATAGATAGATAGATAGACATCATCTATATATATGCTTGTCTGTCTGTTTGCTTGTTTGTTTGTTTGTATCCAACAATAAACGTCAAAACGGCTGAACCGATGTGGGACCTCACATGGCCCCAGGGAAGGTTTATGGATGATCAAAATTAAAATAAGTGCCTCTGAACTTCTATTTTCATTGATTTTTGAAAATCCACAAAATTATTTTATAACTGAGCTTGACATCTGGATTACAATTTTCAGTCTCTGGGTCAGCTGCAGGTGCAGGTCTGTCTGTTTTCTTGTACCAGGGAGTTTTCTCAAACTCTTTGTAATCTTCTTGTGTTAAATCTTCATCCAACTAGATAGATAGATAGGTATATAGATAGATATATAGTTAGATAGATAGATAGATAACGTTTATTGCTAAAATACATGTATCTGTGTACACAAAGAGTTTACAATTACAAATTGATGATTATATTAACAGTACAAGTATAAAGCAATTAGGTGGAAAATAGCTCTTGGCTGTTTTGATTATTTTTTCCACCTAATTTCAATAATGATAACAACACATTTCAATTAAATAGATTTAAGGAGAACTATTAGAGATCAGGGTGCGATTTTATCTTATGCAAAATAGTTTATACATTGATTAGAATAACTAGTTAAAAGTAATTTTCTGACATGTACACAACAAATATCAAAGCATATTAAAACATATCTAATTATTTTTACATGAATAGTAATTCGGTTTATAACACATTGTAATGTAATTTTCAAAAAGAGAATTTAGTAGTCTATTTTTAAATATACTTAGAGAGTTGCTTCTTTTTAAGTCAAGAGGCAGGTTATTCCACATCTTAAGAAGAGAGCTTGATGGTAAATACTGTAATGAGCACATTTTGAGAATGTCATGTTGATAGTTAGGAGATCTTTCAAAGTTTCCAAGCTTTTTAGAAATGTTTTAAAAAGATGCAGGAAGAAGTTTATGTGTATATTTATAGTTTGTTAGCTAGTTGGATAGATATATATTATATAGTTATGAGAGTTACACGGGCAGCCGTCGTACATTTGAATTTCCGAGCCGGGTCAACCTTTCCGGTCCCAGTTTTTACTGTATCGCTCGTACATTGGGTAAATAAAGCAGACGCTCAATAGGACTAGCCGGTGCGTGGTTAGATAAGAAAATAGTCATGTTAAATAGTTATGTTAGTTAGTTAGATAGACAGATAGATAGTCATGTTAGTTAGATATATAGATAGATAGATATATAGATATATAGATAGATAGATATATAGATAGATAAATAAATAGATAGACAGATAGATAGTCATGTTAGTTAGATATATAGATAGATAAATAAATAGATAGACAGATAAAAGATGTTGCCAAATAAAAACTGTGTTCACGAAAGATTTTTTTTTTTAACCTGAGTATTTACTCTTCATAAAACATTATGAGGTTAACCCTCTAATTGTAAACACAATAAACACTAAAACAACCTACAATATTGATCCGTCGTTCAAACAACAGATATTGGCAATAATTTATAAATCTGATCATGAACAGTTTCCATCCAGTATACAGTGAGAAACACAAAACTCTGGAATATTTTCTTTGTTACAACATTAAATACACTAATGTTATAATGTCGTCTTTTTTCCCACAGCTTTCTGGTAAACTTTACTCTAATATATCTGTTTTTAAATCCTATTATAGCTTTTAGCTGTGGTTTAAAAATTGGGATTTAAAACAGTTAAAAACTACATCTATTTAGTTTTTTAAATTAGAATTAGATAGAGACATGATTGATTTACATCTAATGAAATTTAAAGAAAGCTTATCATAAAATATTTGATAATTATTTTTTTTTGTGGTAAAAAAACCAGAAGTCAGCACGATAATCATTCTTTGGTTATATAAAACTTGTTAAAAGGGTTGTCAAACGAAAAATCTAATTTAAACTGAACACAAAACTTTGGTTAAATATGAGATTTTGCCATTTATTAATAACAATAAATAAAACTAAATTATAATGAATAATATAAGTTCAGAAGACTGCATGAAGCGTAAGTGACCCTTCATGCAAAGATGCCAATGCTCGATTCAAAACTGTACCTTTAAAAACCTTTATCTGATATATAATATGGAAGATATGGTCGCGTTTCTAGATTTAAAGTTGCAGTTAATTCTGATAATATTAATATGTTTTTCCTCCAGTAGAAATGCGTAAGAGCTCTTTGTAGAGAAACCACAAATGAAAATATTAAGTTTTTAAAATTATAAACAATTTGATCAGTCTCAGCTTTTAAGAGTCCTTGATTCTGACCAGGGGCGTACAAGAGCATTTCTGTAAGGGGGGAGGGGTCAAAAAAATGTTGTGACCCTCCCTTAAAAACCTCCTTTTAAAAAAAATATTGATATCTTTTTTTAACTATGTAAACTATTTGATCATACACACTTCCATATAACAAGTGTTAATAAATTATTTATGTTATTTTCTTAAGTGGACTCATGAGACACTTCCTTTTAATACTGTGGTGTAATTGCTTCAATGGGTGAAAAATAGAGATGAAAATGTTTCTTAAAAAATATCTATATTTTCATAGAAACGATACATATTGTATTATAAATATTGATTTAAAAGATATATTTATTATTTACACTGAAGGCATGATTGATTTTTTATTTGGCAGCAGAAGTGAGATATGTTAAAGTATTTTATATATGGGTGCCCCATTATTATGAAATTATATATCACAGTCCCTTTTTAAAATTTCCCTGATTTTGTATTTAATTATAACTATAGCCGAATTGCACGGCGTTGCCCAAGCCCCAGATTACTCGCACTTACTCTCGCCGTTTACCCGCGCTTGCATCGGTCTTAACTTATGATTTTAGCTGAAGTGCCCGGCGTTGCCCTGAAACTTCATTCAATTTGGTTTAGAAATTTGGGCAGCCATGCATATAAATGAGCGAAGAGCTTTATTATTTCCTATAGCTTGGGAACTCAGCGCTGCCAAGGTTACTAAAAGTTACTCACGCCGTTACCCGCACTGGAACGATTTCAACGGGAGACTAAATTTTCGCTATAAAACTTATAATCTCAAAACCAAGAAAAAAACATATGCTTAGTTCCCCATTCAAATTTGAGGCAAATCGGCCCAGGTGTTCCTGAGTTATGATCGGACAAACAAACAGACAGGCAAACAGAGATAACTTTTATATATAGTATATAGATAAGTTTTGAATTGTGAGTGATCTCACATTGATCATTAAATCTTCAGCCTTAAGTACAAAAATTTGCAAAAACTCGATATAAAATTGTTATGTTATGCAAAAAAGCTGGATCAGAATCCATGTTTTCACAGGACGAATCCCTTAAAATGAAATGGATCCTGAAAACTGCCTCCCATTTTACATGGACTGGAATTTTTAGGGACGGAGGGGGAGGGGGGTGCTATCTCATTTGAACTACTGCCGTTTGAACTATTGTTCATTTGAACTATTGTTCATTTGAACTATTGTTCATTTGAACTATTGTTCATTTGAACTATTGTTCATTTGAACTATTGTTCATTTCAACTACTGCACGTGGGACCACGTGAGTAGTTGAAATGAACAATAGTTCAAACGAGTAAATATATTGCTCATTTGAACTATTTTTTACTTCATTAGAACTATTTTCATTTGAACTATTAAAATATTTTTAATGAAATAAACAAAAAATAGTTCAAATGAACATAAAAATNTACAGTACACTATACAGTACACTATACAGTACACTATACAGTACACTATACAGTGCACTATATTGTACCTAATTATACACTATACAGTACACTATACATTGTACCGAATTTGATAACAAATTTTGAAAACTTTAAATGATAACATCTAAATTTTTCAAGAGAAGATTTTACCTAGCAACTTATTTTAAAAAAGGGGGGTGTAAATTCGTCAGTGCCTCCCTTTTAGGAGATAGGGGGTACCTGACCCCCTGTACCCCCCCCCCCTGGGTACAGGCCTGTGACCATACATATTAATTTTTGAGCAATTAGTAACTAATTATTTTATTTTATTTTATGATACTTCATCAAAATCTTTCAAAAATCGATGTTTAATCGATGCATCACTTTCGTGTCGTCTTTGAACTAAAAAATATATTCAAAGAATGTTGCGTGGCAATTGAGCGCTGTAAAACAGACCGCAAAATCGTTTTCAGAAGTCTTGGATACAAATTCGAGAATTCTATATTTACGCGAGTTTTAAGTGAGTTTGAAAGTAAAAAACCTTATTAATTGTACGTTCTATTATTTAAGATGTTAAACATATTTGATATTGTTTCAGAAACATGGCTGACGACGAGTATGAGCCGGATTTTGATGATAACGATTTCGTCGGCGACGATATCGACGGTGAAGATATTGACGATGCAGTGGACGATGCAGATGCTGGAGAAGGAAATATTGATGTAAGTCTCTCTTGATGGAAAGATAATTCCCAATTTCTGTCTTCAAAATTCAAAAGTCAACTTAAATTCCCAATATTTATGGTATACAGAATACCCAGTAAAAAAGCGCTTTGAATTTTATTTTTTTTCAGTACTATCTACAAAATATAACAAAATATTTTAAATTCCTCAGTATTACCCCAATTTTCATAGCAGGCCAGAAAACTACAAAGGGAAATATTGAAATTTGATTGAAAATCAAATAATTTAATATTGATTTGACAATAAAAAATAATTATAAACTATTTAAGTCTGTGCTTAGGATCAGGATCCGGATCCGCAAGATTTTGGCTTCCCGGATCCGGATCGAAGGGGTAAAATATCAACCAAAAACTGCAAAAAAAATCTTTTTTACTCCAAAACCCAAATCTGAAATTTTGAAAAAAATTATAAAAATTTCCTCATTTCTGAATGGTTCATCAAGTTTTAGGATAAAAATAAGCGAAAAAAATAAAACCAAAAATTTGAAAATTTTGTTTTGTTAAAAAATTTCAGTAAATCTTAAAGAAATGACCTGGATCCGGATCCAGGATCCGGATCCGCATCAAAATTGAATGGATTCTAAGCACTGATTTAAGTATAATATTTCTTTAAAAAAACTGTCCCTTTTAAAAACTTTACAAAATCAAAGATTTTTCTAAACTAAAAATGCATTAAATGCAAACTCCATCAGACCTGCTCCCAGGTTTAAGTAATATTAAACATAGCTGAACCACATAGACGAGGTTCAACCAGCGTACAAAAGTGGTTGAATTACGTCTGCATGGGTCAGCTACTTATCGCTATTCAATAAATCTGGTCCCCAAGTCTTTTATGAGTTCAAAAAAAAATTATTCGCAAATATACATATTCCTCAGCCTTTTTGTTTAAATTTAAAATTAATTTTTCCAATTACTTCTGTTAAAAACTTGTTTAATATAAATTGAATATTTCCCCTAATAGAGAATAACTACACCCTACCTGACAAAATACGAACGTGCTCGGGTTCTAGGGACGCGCGCACTTCAGATCTCAATGTGCGCCCCGGTCATGGTTGAGTTAGGTTTGTTCTACATTTAATTTATTGAATAATCATTCCCCGATTTTTACCCCCCCCCCCCCTCCACAATTTTGATAGATAGAGTTGTTCACAGATGTTGCTAAATGTGGAATAGGGTGAAAAACAAAGGGGGTTAAACATTTTTCTGGGGTGCATAGGTTATATTGGTGATGTTTAGGTTGATTGGAGCATTTCATCAGGTTCAAGTCGTTTTCGGTTTTTAGACAAAACCTTGATTTTTGATGGAGGTCAATGACCGCCCATCCAAAATTTTCTTTTAAATCCGCGTAAAGGGCCAAAAATGGAGGCTGCATGCAAAGTTTCAGTCTCGTCATTCTTTGAAAGTTTCACTCGTCGATTTTTTTAAATCTGAATTTTTCTGATTTTCTCTATTTTCTAGAGGGAGAAACGGATCCTCTTCAGATTGCCTTGAAAGAGCTGAAGCAGAGGAAGATACCAATCATCATTAGGAAACCAATTCATCTCAAATATTTCCTTATCCCCCCCCTCCCCCTCCTCCCCTAATGACCCAGCTGACCTGTTAAAAAATTATCCTCAGAAAAGTGTTATAATACTCAGGAAGGCGTAAATCTTCATTAGAAAATATTCTGCGGAGTTTTATATGGAATTGGATTAAATCACAGGGTTTTTTTTTTCTTGAAAAATACCCCTATCCTCCCTCTTTGAAAATAATTTTTTTTTATCCAATAAGTTCGGTATGTTTTTTTAGGGATTCATTTGCTTAATTGGGGAAAATGAAATATTTTCACCTGGTTAAAAGATTATTTTTAGAATTTTAGGGTAAATAATAAAGGTGGTAGTGTAATTCATACAAATATACACCCCTGGGCTAATAAACTGCTGTTTCATATCTATATAAACGCCACGGTCCACAGTCCTAGACTAATATTAATCAGTGTTCTTATCTCAACAGACATTTTCCCATATTTGAAAAAAGTCCTGAGAAATGAAAATAGAAAAATACCAATTTTTAGGATTTAAGAAGAAAAAAAATGTTCAAACAATTCTATAAAATATGAGAGTTAAGTCTAAACTGAGTTAATTACTTGTTGAATTTGGTGAATTCTAGACGGTATATGCCTGACGGATCACATGAAGACTGGGGAATCGACGAACTAATTGTTATCGATTAACTCAAAATTGTGGATTTATTAAATATCCGGAAATGATCGATGACAAGGCATCATATTATCAACCCACTGGCGATATTTTTTTTTGGTCAAATTAAGAAAATTTTGATTAATTTAACCCAAGTTATAGATTTCTTCACCTCAAATAATCGACCTAATTTTCTCAAATCATTATTTTCTACCTTATCTCCATATTTTTTTTATCGTTCATAACAACTATTTTCTCGAATCACATTTATTTAATTTTCAGATAAAATGTTTTAGAAAAAGATATGGAGCCTAGTTTCCCAAATATACCTCAGGTATTGGGAAATATTATTTATTGTTTAGTTTTTTGTTTAGGTTTTGTATTACTCCAAGGACCCCTAAAGGGGTGTAGTAGGAGTTAAAGTGGTTAACATAATAAATCTGCATTAGAAGTTTTTTTTGTGATTCTTTTGATAGTAAAAATAATGCATGTACATTGCACATATGAATAATATATAAACAAAATAATGTTTTTTTAAAGAAATGATTTTAAAATAAATGTCATCTACTATTCCGATTTGTGAGGAAGACAATTGTTTATAAATCTAAAACACGGATAATTAGAAAATAGATCTATAACCAAATAAACACTGTTAGTGTAATTTCAAGTGATCTTCCATGCAAAGAAGGAAATGCCCGATATACTACGGTACCCTTGAAACCTTCGACTGTCCATCGAGTTGAAAGATTTCTCTATTTTATCATGAAGGAATCAGCTTGAGTTCCTCTTAACCGCGTCTCTAAGCTGTGTACAGAGTAACCTCAACGGAGCTAATGTGTTAATTGCACAACTCAAAGTATCGACTGTTTTACGTTAAATACTGTTTTTAATCAGTCAAAAGAAAGTTTTAATTTTCTGCCAAAAAAGTAGCTATTGATAGTTCTTTAAAATATAACAGCTTGCAAACTAAGTGTTTAGCAACTAAAAGCGTTATATGGATATGTCCGACATCCTTCGCCAGTTTTAAAGGGTACCGTTGTGAATCAGGGATGCTCCTGTTTAAATGCAGGGTCACTTGAAATTATGCTCACAGTCCCTTTAACCATAATTTAGGATGAGACTCAAAGTGAAGCGAATTGGGCGTATTCTATGCGTAGAAACATGCAGCAGATTCTTCCAGGTCTTTTTCTAGGTAAGCATTCTGTTAGGTTAGGTTGATTGAATGATTAAATGGTTGGTTGGTTAGTTGTTATGTTGATTATTGATTGATTGAATAAATTGAATGAGGTATTCATATATCAATTGATTGGCAGGTTATTCCAGATCTGACTCATTATAAAAGTAGGGTGTCATAAAAATCTGATTTAATATGATTCGGATTGATTGATGGAGGTTAGCTTTCATTAATTGAGTTATTCCAGATTTCAGATCTCAATTTATAGTAGCAGGTTTCATTAAAAATTTAATTCAAATTGATTTATTGATGGATTAAATGATAGATTTGTTGATTGATTGATGGATTGAGAATAGCATTTATTAATTGATTGACAGGTTATTCCAGATTTCAGCTCTGAAGTATAAAAGTTTGATGCCATTATAAATCTGATTTGATAGATTGATTGATTGAGTGATTGATTTATTGGGAATAGCATTTACTTAGTTGACACTGATTCTCAGTGTTCCAACTAGGAATATGTAGAGGAGTTTTATTTAAGAACTGATGATCATCTGATGGTAGAATTGTATCGTCTAGGTTTGTGTATAGATCCCAGTAATCATTGGGGATCTAATGTAGTGATCATACTTGTTTTTGAATACAGCAGATTTGATATCTTGTGGTAGTTTATTCCAATAGTTTCAACTCTGTCACTAAAGCAATTCCTTCTCAGTTCTAGTTTTGAGTTTTTTGGTTTCAAATTGAATATATCAGCAGATTGTCTTGTCATGCATGAGATAAAATAGTAAGTCCATTTCTTACATAAAATGAATATACCACCACCCCTTCCACAATTGGTGTCACTGCGGTCTATTCTCAGGGCAGGATCTATAAAGTATCCCGGTATGTTGACCAGGGTGTTAGTTATAGAAGGATTGCACCAGGTTTCAGTCAAATTTATAAGATCAGGTTTTATTTCATGTGCAACAACCTGGAGTTGATTAATTTTAAGAATTGATATATTGGTTATTCCAGATTTCCTATAGAATTAGGATGTCGTTGTCATTAAATATCTGATTTGATTCGATTTGATCGATCTGAGGTATAGAAAAAGGATGTTATTTGGTTGGTTGATTGGTTGAGTAGTTGATTGATTGATTTGTTGGTTGATTGATTGATTGGTTGATTAATTATTAGGTCCTTATGGTGCTGCCGGAAAATCCAAGCTTGAAGAGCTGCAGCATCATGGAATAAGTCATTTAGGTAGCTTTTATAATTTTTGAGGTTTGGCGGACATTTTTGGAAAACATCTTCCTCTTTCTATAGAATCGTTTCAGTTATTTTCTTCTTAAAAATATTATTTGAAAAATGCTTTCTAAATAAAGTGTACTGGATAATCATTAATCATACTTAGCAGTTAGCAATAACTAACTTAATAAATATTTATATGTTTCATGTTCTTCATTTTACCAATTTTTCTTGTAACCTTAAAAAGGTAAACCCCAGAAATCAAATTTAATGAAAAGAAATTTTGAAGAAAATAAAAAATAAAATAAGATTCATTGAAAAAACAGCCTAATAAATCGATGAAGTTTGTTTTTTCTTTGATACGAAGCTGTATTATAAACTTGTTTAGAAAGGGTTCTAGCAAAAGTGTTCAGATAAACACATAAAAATGCAAAAAAAAAGCTTAAGAACGTGTAATAAATCTGGAAGCAAACTTTTCGTATAATTTCAGTTTGTGTCCGAATGCCAGGAGAAGAGAAAATAGTCAGAATTAATTTTCAAGACAGTTTTATTTGTTCAGGTAAATTAAAATAACTATTCTTATTTCTTGAAAAATTATTTTCCCCTCCCTTTCCGTCCAATAAACTGAGAGGGTTCATGCGGATTTTGGTTTTATTTTGAGCGTAAGCGGGGGAAAAAACTTGCCAGAATGATGTCCAATTTGAATTTCCTCCCAAAATATACAAAAAGTTAAAAAAAAAAGATTTTTAGATAAAAAGGAAACCTTATCTTTTGTTGCAGTGATAGAAATGTCAGAGAGCCGGACTGAAAGAATTCTTCCAAAGGAAATTCATTTATTTTCTAAATTTGTTTTAATATCGTGCTTTTTATCAGTACCATGCTTTTAGCTAGTTTTTTTATGTCTACCATCAATCCGTAGCAATAAAGAAAATAATGTTAGAAATGGTAGAAACATGTCCTTCTTGAATACAGGGGAAGGCGATTATATCAATACAAAGAAGACTACTTTTTTATTTAAGTTCTGATTGTAAACTAGCTTTTTTTCGAATTACAAGTTAACGAGTAATCAGAGAAGCTTTTTTTTATTGCCAGATCCTCTTGACTTCCATGTTTATGTGTATCCATGCGGCTTAACAGCTTGATCAAAATTGTAAGTCGTCTTTATTGTATTGATTATGATCGCCTACCACTAGTAAAATTTTATTTCAAGAATTATTTTGAATGCTTGTAGTTGAAAGAGTTTCAACTATTGTTGGAGGACTGTTTATCAAGTAATGGAAAACTTTTAGGTAGGATTTTCTTTCCTTCACAATTTCTTATGAACCAATTTTTTATATAAACTTTTTAAGAGTAACAAGATAAACCCTCCCCCCCCCCCCCCAATCTATAGGAGTCCCTACTGCAAAACATCAAACTCTTCCGTGCGCTAATCTTATAGTTATGTTTTTAAATGATATGATCTAAATATTCATAAAATATCCCACCCCCAAATGTTAGAAAGGATGTAACCTTTTTGAATTATTATGTCCCTTTTTTTATTGTATGTCTTTTGTGACATTTGTTTTCTTAAATCAATTAAATTGTTTTATTTTTTTCTGTAATATTTAAGATATAAAAACTTATTTATTTATTTTTAAAATTTTTTTTTACTTGTTAGTTTACTGTGTGGATGGAATGTCTAGGTCTGCTGCCCTCGTCATGGGATTTATTATGTTTAAATATGGTCTCTCTTATCAGGTAAAAACACTAGAGAAACGGACTAGAAACCTGATCTCTTATCAGGTGAAAACATTATAGAAACGGACTAGAAACTTTGGGAGGGAAGGGCGAAGGCTTAACTACACATTCGTGCCTTATTCACCTCATTTTCTCGTCCAAGCCACCTCCAGATTCTCGTCCTTGCCACAACAACGTTTAATGCACTGCGCCTTGGAGGTTATAACCTGCTTGAAATATTCCTTAAATCGAAAAAGTAGGTCCATTCAAATCAAAGTAAGTTCTATATCATTAGAAAATTGTTCCTGAGAAAATTCTCAACTTAAACAGAAAAATTCTCGAAATTTTTTGACGAGTGCAATGAAAAACGGCGGCTTGAAATCAACCCTTAAACAGTTAAAAGTTGAAATTGTTACTTGAAAAGCAGATATTAATTTGATTGTTTCTCTAGGAGGTATTGAAGTATGTACAGCAGAGAAGGTTCTGTATCCAACCCTCTCCTGTATTTGAGGTTCAGCTTAAGGAACTAGAACCTATTTGTAGGGTAAGCAAACCCATTTCCTACAACTTTGGAACCGGATCTGTTAAAATTTTAGGATCCAGGGGGAAAATATACATCAAACAAACTTTTTGTCATAAAAACTTACTTGCTTGGGATCCCAGCGCTGCCCAGGTGACTAAAAGTTACTCCCGCCTTTTTCTCACACTTGATCGATTTTACCGGGAAACTAAATTTTCGCTATTAAAGTCGACCCACTCAGCTTAGAATCTTTAAATCAAGCTAAGAACATTCCCGTGTGGGTCTCCCGAGTTTCCCAATAATTTGAGGCAAATGTGTCCAGGGGTTCCTGAGTTATGATCGGACAAACAAACAGACAGACACACAGAGATTACAACTTCTATATATAAATTTGGCTTGTCTGTCTGTTTGTCTGTCTGTCTGTCTGTCTGTCTGTCTGTTTGTATCCAATAAACGTCAAAACGACTGAACCGATCGGGCCCAAATTTTTTGTGGGACATCTAGGGACCCCAGGGAAGGTTTATGAATGATCAAAATTTCAAATATTTGTCTCCATCAAAATTCGGTCTTCATTAAATTTTTTAAATTTTTTGAAAATCCACGAAATTTTTTGTGAAAATCCGCGAATTATTTTTGTTTTGTTTTACGATGTACACAAAGAGAACATGTTCACAATTAATTTAGAAGAAAGATGGGCGCGAAGCGCCCTCTAAGGCTAGTTATATATATATAGATATATCTCAAGTTTTGAACTTAGAGTGAATAACCCAGTGATCTCACAACGATCATTAAATTTTCAGCCTTATGGATAAAAATTTGCAAAAGCTCGTTATAATTTGTTAATAAATGCAAAAAAGCTGGATCAGAATCAATTTTTACACAGGACAGATCCCTTAAAAGTAATTGGATCCTGGAAACTGCCCCACTCATTAGGGGGGGGGGTGATTTTTCAAGACAATATACAATATACATCACTTGTAGCCTGTAAGTGAAGGAAGCGGAGTATATAAAAGCTTCGTCTTTTAACCCTCACTCCTCAGGTGTAGCCATTGATTTTATGTTTAAATTATTATACTGTGCCAGGCTGAGGTTGGGAGGAGAAGTTATCAGCCCAGCAGACAGAAAAGGGAATTTGAGGACAGGTCAATATCTAGATAATAGAAATAAAATCATATAAAGAACTGAGCTGGAAACTCTTGTAATGTGGATATCTTGAGATCAATGCTATATCTCCTCTTTCTGTTAATCTGCATTCTGCAGATTTATTAATCTTTGTTTGATATTCAGAAAAGTGTCTAAAATTCGACCAATCAGAGTCTTGTTTGTAGAAACTGAACAGCCAATCAGAAGCCGGGAAATTGGACGCATAATCAACGGAACCTAGCAGTGATATCCATAAGAGTTTCCAGCTCTTTACATTTGCTTAAGAGACTGAAACCAAAAGTTTTTAATGCCGTCAGGTAGGGGGCAGCAACTTTCCAATGCCCTTACCCATCCTAACCAGCTGCCTACCAATCTTAACAGTATTTTTATTAGTATTATTACTGTTATATTCATTGTTGTATATTTAGTGATGAGATAATAGATGATCATAGTTTCACCAAAATTCGCCAGGTATAATATTTTACACCGAATTATGGATTCTACCCTCCCCCCCCCCCGTCCAAGAATGTTTTCGTCCATTTTTCGTCGCTAACATTTAACTTTTTAGAAAAAGTAATTCTTCTGATTTTCGCTGTTTTTTAACAGTTTTTATCTGTTTTTTTTTTCTTTTACTTTTAGTTTTCTTGTTTACTTTATTCCCCTTTACTCATTTCCTCAGATTTTGTTTGGGGACTTTTTATCTAAAATGATGTTGGTGGTTTTTATATTTTGCGAGTTCTGGTGAAAACTATTGCAAACCATTTGAAAAAAGATATTGGACACCTGTTAAGTTTGCGTTGAACTGGCAATATTGTTATTACCCAAATAAACTAAACTCTCATTCGCGATCAATTCCTATTGGCCACTTTAATTGTATCTTTTATCATATTTTACATTTGTTTTTTCCCGTTTTTCCTCGTTTAAAAATCTTAGTTCTTTTTTGTTTCTCAAATATTTGATTTTGTTTTGTTGATCTTTATTACTAGTACACCTTTGTTTCGTGTTCAGGCGGGTAGTGGAGGTTTAGCCTAGGGGGGGTGCTCTTTTTGTGCACCCCCCTAACGGTTGATGTGAACCCCCCTAAAAAACCGGTATTAAGAAAATTTCAAATCTATATTAATCTACCTGAAGGCTGACTATTATTCATCTGACCATAATTACCAATCATTTTAAATGAAACCCCGCGAAAATAATATTATAAATAAGATAAAGGTACAAGAAAGAATTTGAAAAATAATCATAAAATGGACAAATTGTGACATTGTCGATTGATAAGAAATTAAAAAATCTGAATATATATGCAGGATTACTGTTTAATAAATTAGAGCCTGCCTCTGGCCCTAGGGGGGGGAACAGGGGGTACCAGCCCCCCCTCCACCGCGCGCCTGTTCGTGTTTGAATGGAATTTATGTTTAGAAAGTTGTTGAGGATGGTTCTACAATGGATACAGAGTAAACTAGTCTAATATACTCACACGAAATACCTGCTGCAGTACAAACAGATCATTCTCACTGAAAATATTGTTTTTCTTAATTTAATTTTCGTTTTTTAACTTGTTTCCTTGTTTTAAGTTTCAAGATTCTTGATCTTGGTTGGAAGATTCTTGGTTCCATGATTCTTGGTTCCAAAATTCTGGGTTCCATGATTCTTGGTTCCAAAATTCTTGTTTACATGATTCTTGGTTCCAAGATTCTTGTTTACATGATTCTTGGTTCCAAGATTCTTGTTTACATGATTCTTGTTAACATGATTCTTGGTTCCAAGATTATTGGTTCCAAGATTCTTGTTTACATGATTCTTGGTTCCAAGATTCTTGTTTACATGATTCTTGGTTCCAAGGTTTTTGGTTCCATGATTCTTTCTTGATTCCATGATTCTTGGTTCCATGATTCTTGTTTACATGATTCTTAGTTTCAAGATTCTTGTTTACATGATTCTTGGTTCCATGACTCTTAGTTCCAAGATTCTTGTTTACATGATTCTTGGTTCCAAGATTCTTGGTTCCATGATTCTTGATTCCATGATTCTTGGTTCCATGATTCTTGTTTACATGATTCTTAGTTCCAAGATTCTTGTTTACATGATTCTTGGTTCCAGGATTCTTGGTTCCAAGATTCTTGGTTCCATGATTCTTGGTTCCAAGATTCTTGATTCCATGATTCTTGATTCCATGATTCTTGATTCCATGATTCTTAGTTCCAAGATTCTTGTTTACATGATTCTTGGTTCCAAGATTCTTGTTTACATGATTCTTGGTTCCAAGATTCTTTTTTACATGATTCTTGGTTCCAAGATTCTTGGTTCCATGATTCTTTCTTTTTAACATGATTCTTGGTTCCATGATTCTTTCTTGATTCCATGATTCTTGGTTCCATGATTCTTGTTTACATGATTCTTAGCTTCAAGATTCTTGTTTACATGATTCTTGGTTCCAAGATTCTTGGTTCCATGATTCTTGGTACCAAGATTCTTGGTTCCATCATTCTTGTTTAGATGATTCTTAGTTCCAAGATTCTTGTTTACATGATTCTTGGTACCAAGATTCTTGGTTCCATGATTCTAAAACTGTACGATTGATATTAACTTATTGTTTATGTTTGATTTTAAAATTATTGTCTGCAAAGTTGAAGTAAAACTTTGTGTATTCGTGTACAGTACAATGTAAATTGTGTATTCGTGTACAGTACACCGTAAATTGTGTATTCGTGTACAGTACAATGTAAATTGTGTATTCGTGTACAGTACAATGTAAATTTGAGAATGTACAAAGTGACAAGTTCCTCATATTTCTAATTGCAGAAGAAATGACGGAAACAAAAATAGAAAATGGAAACGCAAATCAGAATGGGGATTCAGTAGAATCCAAACCAGAAGTAGACGCTAAACCGGAAGTAGAATCCAAACCGGAAGTAGAGGCCAAACCGGTGAAAAGAGATCTTGATGATTCTGATGACGAATCTCCAGCAGGCAAACCTCAAATCAAATTTTTTGCGATCGTTGAAATTTCGAAATTTACAAGTAACTTGTTTTAATCTGGAAAAGAAACGATGGAAATTTTCAGCACTTTCTGGCCTTGATAGGCATCAACTTTTTAAGATATACTTATTGCCTGGATGTGCACCTTATTCCAAAAAGATACGGGTAGCATGTGTAAATTCAAATACTGCAACAATCACTGGAGTTTTTTCATGAAAAATTATATTTAAGAAATTAGAATTTTGGTTTTTCAAATTTCACGAAAACTTTTATTTGACGCTTGCTTGATATGACCAGCTCGGAAGAAAATCAAACCAGAGACCAAAGCATCATTGGACTGTCCATACCTTGATACAATTAATAGGTAAAAATCAATTATCTACTTCCGTTCAGAACGTACTTAGTTTAGCTCTCAAACGTAACAATTATTAATCTAAATTTGAATTTGATTAATTAATAACCTTTGATAAATTATTCTGCCAATAATGGATTATTTTATGTTTAGCTAATGTGTATAAAAATAATCGAATAATATGGGTTAATCAGTGCTCCTAGATCTGCCCTGAAAAAAATGGATTTATTTTTAACAAAAGAAGAATTTTCAGACAATTTTTCCTCAATTTCATTTTTCATTATTTTTCCCGTTGGAGGCCAAAATGTTGCGGATCCGATCCGGGTCCTAAGCTAGGATCCAGATCTCAAGCACTGGTTTAATTTAATGTTTTCAGAGGAGTTCTTGACTTTGATTTTGAGAAGCTTTGTTCTGTTTCCCTCTCCAGGATTAATGTGTATGCTTGTTTAGTCTGCGGAAAATATTTTCAGGTATAAAGCATGGAATTATACAGGGGTGTGTATTTTCTTGCAAAATCATTTCCCCCCCTATTTGAAAATGTTTTTATATATGTGACATTTTTTGTGTTTTATCGGCTTAATTTGGAAAAAAAAGATGTTTATGGGTAAATATATGTTTGGATAAAAAGTATTAAAATGGCTGATAAACGTGCCAATTTTTATTTTGTTAAATTTCTTAAAAGTTTACACACTCATTATTTCAAAATAGTGTTAAAAAAACTATCTATCTTTCAGATAAATTAAGAAAAAAAAGAGAAATTTTAAATAGCCTTTTTTTTCTGTGAAATATTTTTTTCTGGCCGGTCATAATTATTTCCTGGGGCCATGTGATATGACAAAAAAAATTGGACCTGATCGATAGAGCCGTTTTTGACGTTTGTCGGATACAGACAAACAATTAAATGTGTATTTGATTGGGAACCCAGCTTCGCCTGGAGACAAAGTCTTCCGATAAAACTAAAGTTACTTAACTTGGAATTTTTATCTGAACTAAGAACTTTCTCCTTGTTCTTCCGAGTTCACCAAACACAATTAGGTCAAGAGGTTCCTGAGTTTTGATTGGAAATATAAACAATCAAACCGAAATTATTACGTTTCATAAAACCTTGCCTCGGAACTTTGTCTGGAGAATAAGCTTTTTCAATAAAAATTAACCCATTCCATTTTTTTGAACAAAGTTAAGAACATTCACGTGTTCGACCGAGTACCATCAGCAAAAAGTCCATAGTTATGATTTGATATACAAAAAAAATAAAAATTACTACTTTCTATATATACATATATATTATATATGGAAATGAAGTATTTAACTCTGTGTTGTATTGTAGGGTCGAGGAAAGAACACGCATGCCTACACTCATAGTGTGAGTGAAGGGCACCGAGTTTATCTCAACCTTGAGTCTCACAAGTTCTACTGCCTTCCGGACAACTACGAGGTCATCGACGCATCCCTCGGGGACATCCTGTACGTGTTGAACCCGACCTTTAGCAAGGACCTTATCAAGAAGTTGGAGTCCTCAGCCAGGGAAAATAGGGCCTTCTACGGAACAAAATATATACCGGGAGTAGTAGGTAAATAAAATACAAGAAATCACTAATGGCAGTTTCTTGTAATAGTTGTAGGTTTTGAATTTTACTTTTCCCGTGGCTTTGTGTGGATTTTTCTGTTTTTCAACACATTTTTAAAAATCAACATTTTTTTCAGGCAAGTTTTTTAAACTCTTGTTATTCGCAAATTTTTGGCCTGACCAGTTTACCCAATTATATGTTTATTGGAGAAAAACAGACAAATAACCTTGCCAAATATATATTTACCCTTTATTCTTAGGGAGGTGATATATTGAAGTGAATCATGGATTGATTGATTGGTTGATATAATGATATATTGTTTTTTATTAAATCTTTGATTGATAAACTGGTTAAAGTATTTTTTATTTTAGGTTTGAACAATATCAAGGCAAACGATTACTGTAATGTGATTCTACACGCGCTCTCCCACGTTCAGGAAATATTCTAGATTTAGCTTTTATCATTTTTTTAAACCTCTTGAGCTAACAAAACAAAAACATACAGTGAAACCCTTAATAACGAATACATCGAAAGAATTCATCAAATGTCGTATTCTTCACTTTCTGATAATGGAATGTTGCAGATATTTAGTTTTTTAATTAAATGATTATATGGAACTCTTAAAAACTGTTCTCGCATATTCATGGATATTTATTTATTTTCGCAAATACTGAAATTTACGTAATCTATATATAAATTTGGCTTGTCTGTTTGTCTGTCTGTCTGTTTGTTTGTTTGTTTGTATCCAATAAACGTCAAAACGGCTGAACCGATCGGGCCCAAATTTTTTGTGGGACATCTAGGGACCCCAGGGAAGGTTTATGAATGATCAAAATTTCAAATATTTGTCTCCATCAAAATTCGATCGTCATTAAATTTTTAAAAATTTTGAAAATCCGCGAAATTTTTTGTGAAAATCCGCGAATTATTTTTGTTTTGTTTTACGATGTACACAAAGAGAACATGTTCACAATTAATTTAGAAGATGGGCGCGAAGCGCCCGCTAAGGCTAGAAAGAAGGGCGCGAAGCGCCTTGAATTTCTAGTACAGTATAAAACTCATTGAATAATTGTCAAGACGACATTTGATAAATTCTTCCAAAGTATCCGTTATTTAGGGTTTTACTGTAGAATAACAATAATTGCCATTTTCGGGTATTTTTTAGTTTTCCCCGGTTGTTCTTCAAGAATAAACTTAATAATACCCAAGAATGTAATGCAAGGAAAGTTAATTGCAGTTGCGTATACTCTGCGTACATACTAAAACCAGTTCTCTCTGGGCGGAATTTGTAAACAAGAATAGATGTATCAGTGTTCGTTTAGTATCCGAGGAGGTTAAAAGCATTGAATTTTGATAATTTTGATAATTCACATAATAGTTTCCTATGACCAGAATATTTCATTGATTATTTATGTGAAAGATGGATCTCATGTCAGGCTTCGACATCCGTCTTGTGTTTACATTACCACCCAGTGACAGTACACTGCAGTACAAAAGATGCGTACATCTCTGAAATAACTTTCCTTGTATTAAATCCTTGATAATACCAAACAATCTCAGGTCTAGTTGTTAATATTTTAAAGCTTGAGGTTGAATTTTATTATGATTTAGAATATAAAAACAGGGGTTAAGAAACTATTTCCTGGACGAACATAATTACAAGAATATAAAGCGGCCACCAGGAGATCAAAGCTTTCTTCTAGGCAACCATTCATTTATTTATTTATTTATTCATTTATTCATTTATTCATTTATTCATTATGCCTTTATGCCTTTATGCCTGTATTAGGCCTTTATGCCTTTATGCCTTTATTATGCCTTTATGCCTTTATGCCTTTATGCCTTTCTGCATTTATGCATTTATGCCTTTATGCCTGTATGCATTGAAACATTCATGCATAACCTTTTCATTTTTGGCAAAAACTTCAAGCAATTATCCAATTTTTTAACTAGTCATCTTCTTTCTGTGGTTAGGGTTGTATGAGTGTTATTGTTATTGCTATAATAATTTTTAAATAAATGGCAATTGTTTAGTTCAGAGATTTGGAGAGCTGATCAGGAAACTATGGAACCCAAAAAATTTCAAGGCACAACAATATACAAAATATTCCTTAATGGGTTCTACTAGGGCAAGGAAGGCCGTTTTGCTATTGGATACACTTCGGTAGCGAGGAGGGTCGACTCATTTCATTGTATGATTTGTTGTCTGCTGCTAATTAAATAAAGGGGAGGGGGTCATGATTTAAAGATAACAATGAAAGAATGGGGGATCTATCCAAAAAAGAATGAATGAGGGGGGGGGGGGGGGGGGTGGACTGATATCAAACTGAAAAAGATGGTGGGATATTTTAATTGAGAGAAAAAAGATGGGAGGTAGGGGGAGTCCACCTAAAGGGACTGTACGCGTAATTTCAAGTGACCCTCCATGTAAAGATGACAATGCCCGATTTACAACAGTACCCTTAGAAGCTTTTTCTGATCAAGTATTAATTAGATATCTATGTTTTGTTTCTTTAAAAGTGATTATTTTCATTTTTGGTTTCTATGTGAAAGTGACTTGCGCATTCTTTGTTCATTAGAAGCAAGGAGAAAATCACAGAAATAAACACTTTTCCGAGTTAGAAAAAGACAGGTTGTTCCATGTTTTAATCAAAGTTTCAAGGTTACCCTTGTGAACTTTGCAAACTTTGCATTTAGCACCATTTGAGTCCTTATAAAGAAGTATAAATGTGTGTGTAAACTAGGCCCACGTATCTCCCCATGAGATGCTGCAAGCTATAGTACTCTGCTCCAGAAAGAAGTTTGAGATTACCAAGCAAGGGGACGCTGGTTCCCTTCTACCCTGGATTCTAAACTCTCTACACATGGCGCTGGGTTAGTGTCTAATAAATAACCTTTTAATGGACCTTTTAAAATGTACTCGCACGATTGTTATTGTTCTGTAAAAGATATGTTTTTAAGGGGGGGGGGGGGGGTTGAGGAAGTTCTTTCCCACTCTTTTAAACTTCTTACCAAAAATTCAATCATTTTCCCCCTAATAAGCATTAAAGATCCATTACAAAAACGTGTCCAACCTAGGCGGGGAAAAATAATTTTGAAATTACTACGAGATTATTGCAGTGAGACCAGTAAAAATGTGGAATCGAAAGAGGACTGCTTGACTCGAGTTATGATTTAAATATCCCCTTGAACATAAAACACAGCAATTCTCCTGTTTTATTTTATAAAATCGATGTTTAAAATGCATCAGAACCCTCATTAGCAACTCTTCAAAGTCATCCACATAATAACTTTACATGGGTTCCTGAGGATTTTTCAAGCATTAACAAGCTACTGGTACAGCTTCTTTAAACTTTATAACAACATCAAATGCACAAAAGAACACTTAAATGTCGTCTTTCTATTCTACAGTTATTTAGGGGGAACCAAGAAGAAGAACTCCTCTATCATCTACCAACAGTTCCTGGGTTCTATGAGGATTCACACCAAGAAGATTATGCCAGCTGATGCTGATCCTAAGAAGCAGAAGGAGCTTGAGAAATCAGGAGAATATGATTGGAAGGTCGGTCAGCCCATGTTTGTCTGTCAACTGTCAAGTCTTGTCTGACAACTCTCCGTCTGTCAAGTCTCTTTCCGTCAAGTCTTTGTCTGTCAAGTCTCTGTCTGTCAAGTGTCTGTCTGTCAAGTCTCTGTCTGTCAAGTCTTTATCTGTCAAGTCTCTGTCTGTCAAGTGTCTGTCTGTCAAGTGTCATGTCTGTCAAGTCTCTGTCTGTCAAGTCTCTGTCCGTCAAGTCTTTGTCTGTCAAGTCTTTGTCTTTTAAGTCTCTGTCTTGCAAGTGTCTGTCTGTCAAGTCTCTGTCTGTCAAGTGTCTGTCTGTCAAGTGTCATGTCTGTCAAGTCTGTCTGTCAAGTCTCTGTCCGTCAAGTCTTTGTCTGTCAAGTCTTTGTCAGTGTCTGTCTGTCAAGTCTCTGTCTGTCAAGTCTTTATCTGTCAAGTCTCTGTCTGTCAAGTGTCTGTCTGTCAAGTGTCATGTCTGTCAAGTCTGTCAACTGTCAAGTCTTGTCTGACAACTCTCCGTCTGTCAAGTCTCTTTCCGTCAAGTCTCTGTCTGGCAAGTGTCTGTCTGTCAAGTGTCTGTCTGTCAAGTGTCTGTCTGTCAAGTGTCATGTCTGTCAAGTCTGTCTGTCAAGTCTCTGTCCGTCAAGTCTTTGTCTGTCAAGTCTTTGTCTGTCAAGTCTCTGTCTGTCAAGTGTCTGTCTGTCAAGTCTCTGTCTGTCAAGTGTCTGTCTGTCAAGTGTCATGTCTGTCAAGTCTCTGTCTTTCAAGTCTCTGTCTGTCAAGTTTTTTTTCCTGTCAAATACAGTGCTTAGGATCTAGATCCGGATCCGCAAAAATATGCGGATCAACGGATCCGAATCCAAGAGGTAAAATATCAACCAAAAACTGCAAAAAAAAACTTCTTTACACCTGAAATCCAAATCTCAAAAAAATATAGATTATAAAAATTTCCTCATTTCTGAATGGTTTATCAATTTTTAGGATAAAAATAAGCGAAAAAAAAACAAACAAAAGTTTTGAAAATTATGACATGAAATGACCTGGATCCGGATCCATTTTTTTCTAGTGCGGATCCGGATCTGGATCCGCATCTGCATCAAAATTAAATAGATCCTGAGCACTGACCAAATATCTATCTGTCAAGTCTCAATTTGTCAATGTCTGTTAAGTCTCTGCCTGTCAAGTCACTATCTTTATTACTTGATTACTATCAAGTTCAAATTTTTGATTGAATGATTAAATCGTTGATTGAAAGATCGATTCTTTGATTGAATTTTTAATTCGTTGTTTGAATGATTGATTGATTGACATGTTGATAAATAAATTATTTTTTTGACAATTGATTGATTGATTTAGATTGAAGAGTCTCCGTTCTTGTACCTGACCTCTGAACTGCCTCCTCCACCTCTATTCAAGGATGAATTCCACGAGAATATTATTCCTCAGGTCTGTGCCATATTTAATGGGTGTGTATTTTCTTGAAAAAAAAACATCCCCTTCCATCCTCTTTTAGAAATAAGCTGAACGTTTTTATTAAATACTGTGTATCCTGTAGGTGTCTCTGTACAACATCCTGGCCAAGTTCAACGGTCAGACAGAGAAGGAGTATAAGACCTACAAGGACAACTTTCTCAAGAAGTTTGAGTTGGTCAAGCTACCACAGTAAGTTTATACAAACAACTAGTTGTTTTTTAGATAACAGAAAGAGTGACATCAGTTTCATACAATTCAAATAATATTTGAAAAAACTATAATAACTACAGAGGTCTAAAATTTAGTAAAATATATATGATAATTTTTTTTATATCTATATATGTATATTTTATTTATTTTTCAGTAAATGGAATTTTCGAAACTAAGAATCCGAAAGTATTTTTTATATCTAATGAAATTTTCTATGTTTTATCTTAACTGAAATAACTAAAAAGAAATATTTAGGTTTATTATCCTGTATATTAAGAGGTTTACTAAGAACACCTTCTTTATGGAGAAGAATCCAACAATTGTTAACTTCCCTGTAAAAAGTATCGAGTTCGGGGATTTACTGAGTGAGGAGGTGAATTTGGCGATTTTTTATTGAGATTTTTATCAAATGATTTGTTGATATTTTTTTATTAGATTATTCATTGATTGATGGCTGGATTTTTTTTTGATTGATTGATGGATTTATGGAATGATGGAGCATCATTTCTTTGATACCAAAGAATTGATTGATCGAATGATTGATTGACTGATTGAATGATTGAATTACTGAATAACTGATTGATTGACTGGTTGAATGACTGATTGATTGACTGAATGTGTGATTGATTGCGTGATTGATTGACTGATTGCGTGATTGATTGACTGATTGAATGATTGATTGACTGATTGACTTACGAAATTTTTGATTGATTGCAGGGATTGTTCAAAACATGGAACAAGCGGATTGATTGGTTGATTGATTGAATGATTTATTGATTGATTGCAAGAATCGTACAAAATACCAGATTGATTTAATTAATGCTTTATTGATGAATGGCTATTGGCTAGCATTGTACTTAACACACTGATGTAACCTGCTGATGGATTGATTGATTAAATATCTGATGAATTGAATGATAGGATCGTGCTAAACACCCTGATGGAACTACCTATGACTTGATGGCAAATATTGTTCACGACGGAAGTTGGGAGAAAGGAAGCTATAAGGTAAATTCCGATCTAAGTTCTCATTTAATTGAGCATATTGAAATTAAAGTAAATTGGGATGGGAGGACATGATTATCTACGAATTAGTCTAGAATCAAATTTTTTTTTTTTATGAAAATATCCTGTTAACTTACATGTTCTAAGTTAATATCCATGTTATTTATTAACGTTGATGTCCTGTGTAAAGGTCCATGTAAGTATTCCAAGTAAGTAGCATGTGTTAAAACTGCAATAAAGTCACTATTTACTTCTAACGAACCAAGAATATAAATTTCCAACAATACAATATTTTAAATTCAACAAAATTAATATTGATCGCAAACTTCCAAATGACCAATTATCCTGATCTGAGGTACAAAAAACTGTAATTTACTTCTAAAAAAAGATTGAACAGTCCTAATCTTACGTTAAGATAACATTTACATTTTATAATGTGACTTCTTTTATCCTTGTATTCTGTTATTAACGAATAAACATAAATAACTAGGCTGCGCCCATCTACTTTTTCAACTTTAATTTCTGGCATTATCTGTGAGCCTCAGCATCTTCTATTTGTACAGTATAAAACAAAAACAAAAAAGTTTGCGGATCTCATAATATTTTTTTCGCGCATATTCAAAATTTTACAAAAATAAAAAACTTCTACGCACAAATCTGTATATAAATTTGGCTTGTCTGTCTGTTTGTTTGTTTGTCTGTCTGTCTGTCTGTTTGTAACCAATAAACGTCAAAACGGCTGAACCGATCGGGCCCAAATTTTTTGTGGGACATCTAGGCACCCCAGGGAAGGTTTATGAATGATCAAAATTTCAAATATTTGTCTCCATCAAAATTCGATCTTCATTAAATTTTTTAAAATTTTATAAATCCGCGAATTATTTTTGTTTTGTTTTACGATGTACACAAAGAGAACATGTTCACAATTAATTTAGAAGATGGGCGCAAAGCGCCATCTAAGGCTAGTTTTTGTAAATTCGATCATCCATATACGTTCCCATAGGTCCCACACAAAATTTGGGCATGATCGGTTCAGCCGCATTTTGACGCTGGATACAGATAAACAAGCAAATATGTATATAGATTGTCGCACAAAATAAAAAAATCTGTTTGTTGTAAAAACTATTTATTAACAAGAAATAAGAATATGAACAAGATCTGACTGTTTTATATTATAAGTTTAGCAGGACCCAGTGATCCTCAGCTCAATAACGATCAGGTTCATCAGATTTAGTTTCAAATCTGGTATTCCTTAATAAGAATAGCTTTATTAACCAAAAGCAATTCTTGTAAAAACCCACGTAGTTATTGCAATTATTAGCAATATCCTACCTGATTTTCTGAGCTGGAAAGCTCAACAGGTTCAAGAGCAGGCAGTAGAGCTTCAGTCTTGAAGATCATGACCTGCCATTCTACTCTGAAATATAAAATATTAAAAGCTTTATATTGGGATAATTGTGATTTGGCACAAATATGCATTGAAGATCACAATTGTTTGAGGTTCGGCTTGATTCCAGGTTCAGGTAGAGTCTTCTCAATCTGGAGAGGAACCATGATACTCCTAAAGTTTACACTCCCCGGCAAAGCTGGGTGACGAAACAGATTGACCATGAACCTTGTTTTACCTTGAAAAATTTTAATCTAGTAGTAGTATCAAGTCAATGACCAGATCTTTCTTCAGCTTTCCTCTTCATTGAATAGAAACTGAAGAATTGTTTGTGTCTTTCACAGTATCTTGCTTCCTTACACTCCATACACTTCACTACTTCTCTCTTTACTGCTTCATGTTGGTACTCTAGGTTATTCTTCATATAGAGATGCTTGTCAGATGCCCTGGCAGCCTGATTTAGTTCATCAATTAGTTCAAGCTGGTCTTCCTTATGCACAATAGCTATCTTCCTCACAGACCGTCTAGTTGTCCTGAATCCTTGCTCTCCAGAGTTCCGGTATTCAATTATAACAACTCTAACTTTTCCATCTGAAGTAGAGTTCTCAATTTGAACAATCCGTCCAGTTCTCCAAATGGTTCTCACACTACTTGATCCTGATCTTGTTTTAGAAAACAACAATGTCTCCTACCCTAGGTTCATAAGTTGTCTTCATCCATTTGTTTGGCTGTGGTATGAAATCACAAAGCTTCTCATCTCTCCAAGTAGACCACCCAGCCTTAAAAACATCTTCCATTTGCTGGAGAATCTGAGAAGGTTTACCCAGACTACGGGTGTGACCAAAGATAAGCCTGGACGGAGTTATCAGATCAGTGTGTTCTAAATTCTTGTATTTAGAACCAATACAAATGGGTAGGTTATTAAGTTCATTTGCTACCCAGGTAAAAGCTGTCTCATAGCTCATAATGTCTAATTTAAGACCTCCATAGACAGTTTGAAATAGCCTCTTAACTTCTCTTATGGACCTCTCTACCATGCCATGGACATTGTGTCCACCCACCGGACATGGAGAGAAGTCAACACCAACACCGTGCTTTGCATTAAGATTAGAAGATACATCAATCCAACTAACTTCCATTTCAGAACAAGCTTTCAAGAGCTGTCCACCTTCATCTGGAAACAGTTTAGCAGGGTGACCAAACCTAGCTGCAAATCTTGTGTAAGCCATGATGAAAGCAGTAGTATCACATTTTGTCATAGCATGAACAGCAACTGCAGCTGTGGCTGGGCATTTAAAAACAACTCCCCAGACTTTTACAGTGCTACGGTGGTTGTGCTCGCACCTAGCAATAAATGGCCCCATCAGATCAACTTGAGTGAAGTAAAATGGTGGAGCAATTGTGAACCTGTTTTGGTTCAATTTCCCCATCTCAACCTCCAACAACTTCTTCTTAAACCTTCGGCAAAACACGCAACTATCTCTCACTTCCTGGGCAAGATCACGGCCCTTGATGATATATGCATGAGACAGAGACTCTCTCAGAGTTACAAGGGTATTTTTATGGTTAGTCAGCTTCTCATGACAATGAATCATGATTGCATAAGCAACTGGAGAGTATCGATCAATAATGGGCTTGCAGAATGAAAGTGGGCTGAGATCTAACATTGTATTCTCTACAGAGAGAATACCTTGATCATCCAGGATTCTTCCTGTGTAATGAAGCACACCATCTATCATGGTTGAGTTCTGCTTCCAGTCTGTGTGTTTACTAAAGGTCCTCACTTCACTAGTTGTCTTCAGAAAGTAGTAGTGTTCTGCTTTCTGAATATCTTTTTCTGTGAGTTGAATAGCAGGATTTTTCTTTTGAACAGCTTCCTTACCAGATGAGGGTTTGGAGAGAGTTACATATTTCATGACAGTAGCTAGGATCCGGAGAATCTTAGACCATGAATATTTGCATGGGTCTAATATATACTTGCTGTAAGCATATCTATCTTGAAGTTTTGAGGACATAGAGTATACAAGGTACCCTAGGATGTCTTTGGATTTCAGCTCCAAAGCAGCCAAACGCTTCTCCTCAGATGAAAGAGTTAACTCTTGAACAGTTCTAATAGGCATTTCTGAAAATGGTTTACTCATCCATGATCGCCCATTTTGCCAATCAGATTGCTCATTTACCTCAGTTAGTGAGCATCTCCTTGTTCCAATGTCAGCTACATTGTCAGCACTGTCCACATGATACCACTGATTTAAAGTTGAGAATCTCCGAACTTCAAGAACAGCATTTCTGACACCCACCTGGAGTGGCCGCTCATCCTGGTTCAACCAATAAAGACAAATACTAGAATCAGATATAAATATAGCTGACTCAAAGTATTCCCCAAGATTTTTCTTGGCAATATGACCAGATACAGCTCCCATTGTGGCAGCTTTCAACTCTGCTCTTGGTATTGTGAGTCCACTCACCAACTTGCTTCTTCCAGATAAGAGCTGACAGCTGAATTTTCCATTCTTTAGAGAACTCCTAGCATGCACTGCAGCTACTGCAATATCTTGACTAGCATCAACAGACACTATAATTTCAAGAGTAGGTTTAACAGCCTCTGGATGGATGACTGCCCGTCTGAAGGTGATAAACTTCAGCTCTTGGATATCAGAAAGGTTCTCCACCCATAGAGGTAGTAACTCTTCTGGCACTTTATCATCCCAGTCAAGATTTCGCAGGCAGATTCCTCTAAGGTCCAATTTAAACCTTGAGGTTATGGGGGTGAGGAGACCTGAAGGATCAAAGACACCAGCAATCTTTCCTGTGGCAATCCTTCTGGTAAACTTTCCTTTCAGTGCAGAGAGAATATCCCCTTGCACTGGTTCTGGCCTCTTCCCACGAGTTCCTTTCTCCAAGCAAAGATCCTTTATATCCAGAGTTATGGTATCCTGTAGTGGTTGCCAGAGATATCCAGCTAACCCCACAGAGACGCCATCAGCTGAAACTTCTTCTGAAGGTTCACACCCTGAAAATGTGAAGGCCTTGACCTTCATACTTCCCATATCTAGCACAGCAACAATATCCTCTGCAACAGCCAAGCAGGCTTCATGAGTTTCTTCTGAATCTAAAATATCATCAACATAAATCTCTTCTTTCAAGACAATTGCTCCTTTTATGTGATCCTGAATGTTGTTAATAAAATGGTCTGCCAGACTTTCAATGGCAACTTGGGTTTGCCCACCAGAGCTGCGAACCCCATAGATTAGAGTTTTAACAACCATGGTTTGGGTTTCATCTGAGGGAAGGAGATTTTCCTTCCACAGATACTGTTGATATTTAAAATGTTCTGGAATGAGCTTTGAACCATTAAAGGCCATAGATACATCACCAGTCACAGCAAACTTTGCTCTCCTAAATCTGATAAACAGATGTTGGAGTCTTGCTAGGCGATTCTGCCCTTTTGCAAGAACTGAGTTGAGACTGGCTCCCCCTGGAGTCTTGGCACTAGCATCAAAAACTAGTCTACAAGGAGTGGACAATGAACTCTCATTGTACACGGTACGCCAGGGAATAGTATATCCTGTTCCTGGAGTAGATTCCATTCTAGTTTTTTCATCTTCTGTGAGTTCAGAAATTGGACTGACATGACCTCTGTCTAGGAGTTTTTGGTGAGAACGCAAAGTGTCCTCTCTCATCTCAGGATGCTTTTCATAGA